TGTTTTTATCAATTTAATTATGTATTTTTATTGGTTTAATATTGATTTGATGTTGTACCTATTGTATTGTTTGTACTCGTAACAAATACTTTACTTGTTGTACGTAACACTTAAAAACAATAAAACTTTATTACTTTATTGGTTTAATATTGATTTGATAAACATTTGCGCAATTATAGCTGGACCTACAACATTAGTAGCACCATCTTTTTTTCTTCTACCGGTCCTGTTCTTTCAGGAAATGTATGGTTTGGGGGGTCTTTTGCAAACTCTAAAAGCAGCAGTGAAAAATTTAAAAACCTGTGAAAAATTGCAAAAATGGTGGGGCTGGCTGAGGTCAAAAGTGTTAGGCAGGGCTTGGCTGCAAAAGGGTTAAAGGATCAGTCCACCCAAAAGGTACATCTGTTGCATGGGGCAGAAAAAGGAGATGCATACAATGAAAGGAGCAGTCCACCAAAATCATATCTGTTGCATGGGGCAGCACAAGGAGATGCATACAATTAAAGGACCAATCCACCAAAATTGATATCTGTTGCATGGGGCAGCACAAGCGGATGCATTAAATTCAAGGATCACTCTGCCCAAAAGTTATATCTGTTGCATGAGGCAGCACAAGGAGATGTATAAAATTAAAGGATTAGTCCACCCAAAAGTTTTATTTTAATCCAGTTAGAAGGTTTATTCACCCGCCAGCTTCTCAAATCTGTTATACTTCTATGAAATTTTAGTTCTACAATGTACTACCGCCCTCTATTGGTCTACATGAAGTAGCACAGAACCCATTAGATTATACACACTATAACAACCAAGGTGGGCTACCTGTAATTCAACACCTAGGTCTGAACGCAATAAGATAGACTCCAGATTCAGGGTTGCTAATCCATAATATAATTTTATTATCAGAAGTAGTTGTGGACAGCAGCTTGTTGTCTCCTAATATTACCGGCAATGGTGTTTTATCAGTTACAATTTAGTTACAACATAAAAATAACATCTGAGACCTTAAAATGTCAATCAAATGAATCGCTGATCTTTAATGTTATGCTCAATTGAAAAAAAATTCTATTAGCACCTGTGCACCTCTGTGCCCTTTCACTCCCTTTTTCTGTAGTGAGTGCTGCCTTCCGTTTGTCCATAACTTTTAACACTTTCCTGGACTCCCATTGTGCTTTGTGTCTCTTTCTCTGATGCTTGATGTGACTACATATCCCATCATGCATTGTTTCCAGCAAGCAATGCTAATGTTTCATTGTTCAGAAGGCAGGCTCTGTAAGGGTGGTGACACACAATTGTTGTGAAATGATGTCACTGCATTGAGGAAGTCCATCCTATGGGCATCTTCAATAAGAAAGTTTACAAACTTCTAGATGGCTACAGTTCTTAGGAGTGGGATTGAACTTGTGAAAGATCAGAATTATTTTTTTTATTTTGACCATAGATATCCCTTAAAAGATACATGTAAACGATTTATTAATGATCACAAAGCTGCAGTTATTTGTGTCTTCTATATATGGGCTGGCAAATTTTTTTTTAATCGATTAATTTCGATTAATTATAACGCACATACAGATCCAACTACATTGGCCTATTATACACATACAGCACAGCAAAGAAGTAATAAATTGAACTAGGATCACACTAATCCAGCACGTTATTAATCTCACGTGCCCCACTCAATATGGCCGCTGCTTGAGTGGGGCAACTCAGAATAATAACGTGCTGGATTAGTGTGATCCTAGTTCATGTTATTACTTCATTGCTGTGCTGTATGTGTATAGGCCAATGCCTTGGCTGGCGCTCGTGCAGAAAGTTTCTTGGGCAAACTCACCGGCCCAAGTGGCTCCGTCGGCTAACAAAGGGGGGAGGAGGCCGGTGAGGTCACGGACATCAACATCACCGGACTCCTCCCCTTCCCTTCATTAGACGTCACGGACATCAACGTCACCGGACTCCTCTCCCCTTCCCTTCGTTAGCCGACAGAGCATCTTGGGGAAGGGAGAGGAGTCCGGTGACGTTGCCGATGGGACTCCCGGAAGCCGACGGAGAGGTGAGTGTTTTCATTAGCGATCAAAATAATTTGAATCGATCAAAAAGTTTAACGATTAATTGCGAAATTAATATTTAATTTCCACAGCCCTATTTATATTTCTTTAAAGCACGTGTCAAACTCAAGGCCCAGGGGCCGAATCCGGCCCACCAGGCCATTTCCTAGACTTCTACTTTCAGATCTAGGTATTAAGTTATTACTAAAACCAGTGATAATCGAATGCAGAGTCAATTATGATAAAGATTAGATTTATGTATATAGTCTTACAGGCTCTTTGAGGGAAACCATAATGTTGATGCGGCCCTCGATATAATTGAGTTTGACACCCCTGCTTTAAAGTAAGCCTGTACTTTGCATAAATTATCCCTCTTTCTGCCCTGGGAGCCCAGTAGTTTCAGATTCTCAAGTGGCTAATAGCAGCATCCAAAAACAATCAATAAGGGGGCGTGCCAAGCTTTATACAGATACTGACTTTCAAAAATTCAATGTCTGCATAGGACGTTTTACAGGCACAAATAAGTAGTGGGTGGAGCTAACAAAATGTTGTAACTCACTTTACAGTGTGACTCTTAAATAATACAGAGTGCAAGTTTACTTTAATTGGCTTTATCAAAATTTTAATTTTTGCAAATGTACCTGGAAGTTTGAGGGACTTGGATACTAGAAAAACATTGTTCCCATTGTAAAGGATCATAGAGCTAATATTATATTATATTTGTATTTAAAATTGTATATTTATTTGCATATAATATATATATTTTCTTAGAGTCCTGGTTCGCCATATTCTACAACACTGTACAATTCAAGAAACACAATTAAGAGGCATAACAATGTAACAAACAATAGAATATTGTGGGACAGGCCTGCTCCGTGGAGCTTACAGTCTCAATAGAATTCCATATTTTAAACAGAAGAATCATGTGAGTGGCCATTGGGGGGCCTGAAGACAACTTTTGATGTTAGGAGGCCCCTTAGGTTTAACAGCTTTCTTGTCAGTTACAAAAGCTGTTCCCCAAATCCTGAGTGAGTGTAACAGTATCTAATAACAGGGCCTTGTAGCTATTTCCATTGGTGCAGCTTGTGTAATCAGCACAGCTGTCAGAATTCAAAGGAGGCCTTCCCAGCCATGGCTGTAGGGGGCTCAAACAAAGCTGTTTTACTTACCTGACCTTGGCTGCCAAGGCAGTCAGCGGTCACGGCACTCCCCCACTGCTCTGGCTTAGGATGTGATGATGTCATCGGTCCTTAGCCCAAGGGAGAAGAGATGGCGACCGGTTTGGCATCCCAGAAGGACCGAGGATCAGGTGAGTAAATCAGCTTTATTTCAGCCTCTAGACTAAAATGGGCACTTAATCCTTGCAGCAGAGGGGTAGCTGTACTGCAAGGGTACTTTTTTTTAGGAAGAGACCACATTCGGGTTCAACAAACTGTATTTGAGTTGATCTTTAGAAATAGATAGTGTTATGGTAAAAAGATTTTAGAGGTTAAAAGTTGGATTTTCCTTTAAGGTAGCAAGTTTTATATCAAAACAGGTTCTAGAATCTAAGAAATTAGTTTTTCATATAAGATAAAGGGGGCATATGTTGTACCTTGTTTAAAAAGAACTTCAAGTGAACCAGTCAAGTCCAAGTATATGTAAGGATCCAAATCTCTACTATTAAGTTGTCCTAATAGTGCAGTTTTACCTCTCAGGGAGGGCTCTGTGTACTGTTGTTCATCTGTATTCTCTCCCAGTCAAAGCAAAAATCACAGTACAGTAGCAGGCTGAGAGAGGCGTCATGGAGGCCAATTTGTCGTCTGCCTTATTTCAGGGTAGACACCATGTTTGGGATTCTCTAAAAGGGTCAAATTGTTCATTTACTAAGCCTTTGGTTTATTTGTAATGAATCCGGGCAGCACCTTTGTTACATGACCATTTTTGAGTATCCTTTATCAGCACTGAGCTCAGGAAGGAGATTGGACAGCTTTAGTGATCCCCCCCTCCCCCCTCCAGCAGCTTACATGACAAGTTACAAGCCTTAACCTCCCCCTACCCCATTTCACACTATGACAGCTCCTTCCATGCACATACTGGCCACTGCCATACCCTCCAAACTCCTCTTCTGCACATATTACCCCCCATTATACTCTCCACATTCCTCTAATACACGTACCACCCACCGTCATACCCTTCAAACTCTACTCCTACATATACTGCCTGCTGTTATACCTTCCACACTCCTCTTCTGCATATACTGTCCACCCCTCCAAAACTCCTCTCCTGCACATACTAACTGGCATCATAACCTCTCAAGCACATACTGTCATTCCATCCGCACTCCTCTCCTGCACATACTGCCTGTTAGCATACCCTCTGGCTCTTCTCTCCTGCACATATAAATGTTTTATTTCTCTCTTCATTACAAAATTATTCGCACTGCTGCCAATTCTTATTAACTCTTTATGTATAAGAAACACATTTTCAGCAGTATTTGTAATGTCCCCAAACTTACCCAGTTTTCTAGTAAGTAATCTCTGAGCGGTATTGATGCACTATGATAACAATTCAGTAGGGATTCAGATTATTACATATTGTATGCCTATGGGTTCTTTATAAATACCCCACAAAACGATATAAACCCATAGGTGACTGATTATATACATTTTTGATAGAATTAATTTAATTATACATGAGACAACAAAGAGAGTAGACAAAAGTAGAGTCCATAATGGTCAATATCCACCAGAACAACCTTCTTTTTCTTCAGAATGCCAATGCTCTCATTGCCTGTAGAAGAAACACCTTTGTTAGGATGTACACACTGATGACAGTATAATACTGTATATTATAAAGCTCAGCTCTAACTGAAGCCCCAGATCCCCTCCCTGAAACTCACATGAGCTTCTTTTCAAACTCTATACATTTTTCCTGCAGTCTTTAGGCTAGTCCACAGATGTCAGGAATACTTGCTCTTCAGAGGTTGATGGTCCTTCCTTCTAAGCACCACTCAGGACTACTGAGTACCGTTGGTCTCTTCAGAGTTGAATGATGACCATCGTCATTCCACCCACTCCCTGTGAGCCTAGACTGCATGATGAGGGGTGTATCAATTGCAGCCTGGGCTCACAAGAAGGGAGCTGAATTATGCAGGTCAACATTCAACTCCCAAGAGGCCAACAGTTCTGAACAAAAGGGAAAAGAAGGGTACAGCACTGCGAAGTGGAAAGGGGGAGGAGCAGTCGAGCAGTTGCATCCCCAGTCATTGTTGAAGATACTGCGATACAATTTATGTTTTGGGCAGAACCATGAAGGCAAGGATCTCCCCTGCTTCTGCTTCATCCATTCTGTAAATCTGTTCTTTCTGCACCTCTCCTGCTGCTTCTTGGTCATTTCCCCTTCCAGCCATTATATCATCATAGAACAGACATCGGGGAGCAAATGGCTGCTCCTCCATCAAGATGGCCATCTTGGTAGAGGAGCAGATCTGTGCTCCTTGATGTCAGAGCTGTTCCCCGATGACTCCTCTTCATTCCTTTTTGGGCTTAGTTTTCACAGTTCAAGTTCTCTTAAGGACTTCATGCCACAGTTCAAGTGATTTTAAAATATATAAAATACATTAACATTAGCTTTTAGAATACTAATGTGAAGTTGGCTGATATGAATAGAATACTATAATAACAACATAGTCCCAAAATAAGCATGTTGAGTGTCAGAAAGTGTCAACAACTTATCTCAATACTTGTTCCAGGTCAGCGGGCTCAGTCAGCACTGTATTCAAAGCATCAGAATGAAAGCCAGGGAAGTAGCATTCTCAAAGGAAAGTTTAGTAATGGCAACCTCCATTAATCTGTCAATACAATTTCCCTTTAAGTATTAAGGATAACGTGTCCCATCAAAAGGAGACATGGTACTAACCTCGTCTGGTTCCTGTAGCTCTTGGTAGTCTGGATTGACATACAAAAAATCCTTGGAGTCCTTCATAAGTGAAATCTAATGAAAAACAAATTCAAATACTTCTCTTCAGTTTACATACCTCGTTAGTTATGAACTTTACAATTTCTAAATCATTTGTAGTGTGATGAGTGCTTCTACATCAGCTGATGTGGAGAAGTGGAATTTGTTAAAGAACACCTGTCTTAATCAAAAGAAGAAATGTCTTCCCCGGAAACACATGGCCAGTTTTATGTGATTACAATTATGAACAATTAGAAGCTTCTTGGGCTATTTTACCTTTTGGTTTGGCACCTGTTTCTGTGATGCAAGGCTTGGATGCAGCTGCTCGGCCTTGGAAACCCATTCCATGAAGCTCTCTACGCACTGTTGTTGTGCCAATCTGAAGGACACACAAAGTTTAGAGGTCTGTAGCTATTGACTCTGCAGACAGTTGGCGACTTCTGTGCACTGTGCGCTTCAGCATGCGCTCACCCTGCTCTGTCATTTTACATGGCCTACCCACTTGGTGGCTGAGTTGCTGTTGTTCCCAGTTGCTTACATTTTGTTATTAGACTCATTACATGCAAAGCAAGATAGTTCAAGCCGTGATTTGTCATAATTGTGATGATTATGGCTTACAGCTCATGAAAACCAACACCAGCAGATGACATGGCTCCCCAAATCAACACAGACTGTGGAAACTTCACACTGGACTTAAAGCATCTTGCAGTGTGTGCCTCCCCATTCTTCCTCCATACTCTGGGTCCTTGGTTTCCAAATGAGATGCAAAATTTGCTCTCATCAGAAAAGAGGACTTTGGACCACTATCACAATTATGACAAATCACGGCTTGAACTATCTTGCTTTGCATGTAATGAGTCTATCTCATATATTAGTTTCACCTTTTAAGTTGCATTAGTGAAATAAATGAACTTTTGCACGATATAAGAAATAATAATTAAAATGTAAAAAGTGCTAAAAAAGTAAAAAAAATAAAATAAAAAAAAGTAGAAGATAATAAAATACAAATTTTAAAAAGTAAACAAATAAAGAAAAAAAAACAATAAAGAAAAAAAATTAAAACTATAATAAAAAATATTTTAAACCCTGCCATCCCCGCCATCTTGTTGCCATTGGTGGGAAGGGGGTTGCATTGAGGAACCCGCCCTTTACTCAGAGAGAGTAAATTTGGCCCTGCATCTACCTTTGTTTTTTCTAACTCCAACAGTATCTATGTTAACATTTTTTTTTTCCAAAAGTAAGTCTTGTAATTTAAATAAATACTTTGACAATCTGCATACCTTTTCTACTAAGGGATCGTGTCCAGGTTTATACTTATCCTGTTCTAATTGCATGACAGCATCGTGTACCGTAAGGAAGAAGATATCATGCCTGATTGTATCATCAAAGAAGGAACAGACTTCCAGTTTCTTGAGTATAGCATCTATAAAAAAGGATGATGTAAGCAAACAATAACCAATAGCAACTAGTTGAATCTCAGCTTTTATTGGATTAGCAGGTACAATATTGTTTTTTATTGGCTTCTGTGTGTGAAATCACTTTGACATCCCTTGTAGATTAATAAATTAGGCCGGTGTTATACATACCTTCACAAGCTGCAAAGTAAATATCTACATCAATTCTCTTGAATTCTTTATATATCTGGAAAAAAAAAAATTAGAAATCATTTGCATGTTCTTTTCTGCTTCATGCAGGATATCATTATATTATATAACGATATCCTGCATGATATGCATATATACTATGTGGCAGCAGGCAGGTGAAATCACCTGGGTGTATCCAGAATGGCATATATGTGTTTCCCAGGTTCAAGATGTATGCAGATTTTTTTCCACTAGAAGGAGTGCTGGGAGGCTGGAATGGTACAGGTAATGAGCCCAGCTGAAGGAAGCTGGATCATTAGGGCCTCTATAAGAAGTACTAGACTTCTCAAGGTGCCCATACACTGCTCGATTCTCGTACGAGAATCGCTCGAAATCCCGCGATCGTACGAGAATCGAGCAGTGTGAACGAAGACGTGCGACCGTTTCTACTATACGGTCGCACGTCTTTTGTCTAAGGAGCACGCTAGAAAACCAGCCGAAAAACGTACGTTTTTCGGCTGGTTTGAACGGTGCTCGGGAGACAAATGCCGAACGGGCCGGTGTGCGCACGCGCACACTGCCCGTTCAGCATTGCGGTCATCGGAAGCCCGCCCCTCAGGGGGGCGGGCTTGCGATGATCGAGAGTATGATCTGCCTGTCCAAGATTGGCAGATCGTACGTTTTTTTAATTACTTTACAACCATCGCAAGACTAAGGTCTTGCGATGAATGTAAAGTGTATGGCCACCTTTAGAGAATGGATCCACCCTGAAACCAGTTTCATGCCTGAGTAGACTGGGGAAGCGTTCTACTGACCTGTGTGGTGACAAAGAAAACAAACTTGTCTGTGTGGCAGTTGACTGAATAGGGAGATAGGTGCTAGGGGCAGCACCAGGTTGCACTTAGCTGATAGTGAGGGATACTGTGTATGTAGTAAGTGGCCAACCGGCAAGGGTTTATTTTCATGTTTTGTTTATTTTGCTCAATTTTTTTTTTTTAAATTGTTGTAAATAAACTGCACTTGTGTTTCACCAGACGGAAGCCTCATTTGCTGTGCCAACTTTCCGTGGTGTGAACCCATCCATGGCGTGACACACACCTGCTGCCGATCTAACACTCTCACAATATATACATACACACTGTGTGTGTGTGTGT